AGCGAGGCCCCGTCAGCCCAGGCTGGACCTGCGCTTGGTGCACCCCTCCCCCTCCCGTCACTGCCCCTTCCCCCTCCTGTCACTCCCCCGTCCTCTCCTCCCCACCCCCCGCGCCGACCGCAGCGCGCGCCACGTCCCCCGTCCCGCCCCCGCGAGCCACGCGGGGAACCCCGGTGACGTCACCACCCTCCTGAGCTCGCATTCCCGCGCTCTCCAGAAAAGACGCGAAGGTGGTGACGTGTCCGGGGCGCCAGTGCTGCTGCGCAGGAGGCGTCGGCACCCGAATGTCCTGGGGCGCCGCCTGGTGGAAGGAAAGCCACGCAGTCGGCCGGAAGTGGTGACTTGCAGAGAGGAGAAGTGACTAACGTCATCCCGCAGAGGCCGGCGGCCGTTGCCGCGTGACCAGTCCTCACCCAGGCGCCCCCACTTCTTCCTCTTTCTCTTTTAATGTCAGTAGAAGTGCCGAAGCTTGGTTTTATGCCCCTGCTTTTCCCCCTTATTACTTAGCAAAGTAATATTGTTTATTGTAGAAAATTTGGAAAAGGGAAAAGGTAGGAAGAAAATGAATATCAGCATCCCCAATCATCGTTAACCTTTAATCATCTTCAGCCTTTCTTTTTCATTAATCAAAATTGTGATCTGACTGTATAATAGTGGTATTAGTACAAAGATTCCTGAGAAGGGACAAAAAGCACTATTCAAGCCTCAAGGCTAAGTTTGAAGAGGAAGAGAAGTTCAAACAGGCGAAATGAGCGATTCACCCACAGTATCTAATTTACTGTTCACATCATCCAGATAAGGAAACTGGGGCTCAGAGCGTTAAATGTAAGAGGGTGGCAAAGCTGGGTCTCAAACGCAGGCCTTAAGTAATCTGAACCTTAAGATGAGAGGAGCGGGGAGAGGCAGCGAAAAGTGATGCTGGGGAGAAGAGAAAAGCCTCAGGAAGTTTACAGGGCTACAGAACCCATTTCCTACTGCCGAACTCTTGAGTTGGAACTAGCTCCAAGGAAGAAGGCTAGTGTGCTCATCAGTTGGAGCAACTTCGTGGGACAGTGTCATAAGCAGCTCACGCTAGTACACTGCCTTGATGCATTTCCAGTGCGGCCACTAGTTTCTAAGTGTTACTGACCTCCAGCACTGCCTTCATCTATTACTGGCAGTGAAAAGTGGGAGGGAAGTTACTCTACCAGGTCAGGCATCATCGCAGTCTGTAGTCCATCAGTATCCTGCAGTCCAGGACTTTCTTCATCACCTTGATGGGAAAATGCAGTTTGATAATAGAAATGCAAAATCTTGGACCCTACCCTAGAACTTCTGAATCAGAATATGCATTTTAACTAGATCCTTGGGTGATTCCTGTGGTCATTAAAGTTTGCAAAGCGCTGTTGTAGAACAAGTCATCCCCCTCAGTGAGGCAGGTGGGATGGCAGGAAGATATGAAGGGCGCTTGCAGAGCGGGATGGTGGGAGGACAGGCAGACAAGGAGCAAGGTAGGTAAGGAGGTTTAAAAAGAGAATCAAATAAGGAGAAGTCAGTGTCATGAGATGTGGAGAAGGAAAACCAGGAAATCAGAATCTGGGATATAAAGGAAGGAGAAATAGATTGAGTGGGGTAAGCAGATCCATCTTGGGAAAACTCACAAGTAATAGACACAAGGGCTGTTCCCTGTGGCTGACTTTTTTGTGTTGTCTTGCGCTGGAAAGAGTCGGGTTAATTCAAAGGGCTCAGCGAGGGCAGTCTCCACCCATCCTTTCACCTTTAGCACAGTAGAGTGAGATTTCCCTGAGTTCTAGCAGAGGGCATATTCTGAGCAGTTTCTTACATGGGAGAACTAGGGGTAGGAGTTGGCTGAGTTATTGACAGAGTAGTGCCTCTTGGATGACATACACAGTTGCACTCTAGCTGGAGGCTGGGATGTGTGTAGTATGTACATGTGTATACACATGTAGGCTGGAGGGAGGACATTGGCACCAACCCACAACAGCAATTGGTGAAAGATGGGGTAATCTGATTGGGAATTGCTGGCCCCAGAAGGCCACAGGGCTGATGACATCTGGTGCCTCAAGAGAGCCAGGTAGCAGGCCTACAGACTTGCACATGGGTGGGTGGTTCTTGGAGTCAGCTTTTTCTTGAGGTCCCCAAGTGGTCTCTACATATTAGCAAGCTGTTGAGATGACAGCAGTACTGGCAGAGGTGGGGACACAGGTTAGAACCAAAGTGTTCTGGGTGGAGGAATAGCAAGTTGCTATGATGGCTATGATGTTAGGGGGCCCAGCCATGTTGCCTGGAGGAGGAGGACTTAAGAAGGCATCCTTCTCAGACCTGTTAATACATTCAATCTGAGGATGATCAGTCTGTGCGGTAGACAGGATGCTGTGTGGACATGGAGGGTTTTGAGTTATTTCTTCCAGAATACAAATGGTGGCTGCAGCTTGGAGAGGCACCCCAGAGAGATTCCATGGAAGGAGGTGTGCAATGAATAGTGCACAAGGGAATGTGCATGGGTGGGGAGGCAGGTGGGTTCAGGGTTTGAAGAATGCTGTTCTGGTGGGGGTATCTAGGTTCACTGGGAGTGTGGGGCAGGTCTGAAATGAATGCTGATGGTGCCCCAAACGTATATGGCGGCTAGGAGTGAGGGCGGTGGACCTACTGGTCCTTCTAGGCCCATGCTTGACCCAACAGAGTGTCAATTTAGAAAAAAGGGTCAGATTTTGATGGACTGTGATAGCAATCTGGGGTGTCCTGGGTGAAGACCTTAGCACTTGAGTGGAGGCCTCTCTGGGTGGATCATTTGCCTCATCTGTGTGTTTTATGGCCCCTGTGGATGTCTAGATCAGTCAGGTTCTGCTAGACCCAGGTATTTGCCTGTTACCCACAGGTTTGTCTTGGTCAAAAAGCTGTGACTGATGTCCTCAAAGTTCTCAGGTTGAAGGATTTCTCATAATGGGGCAACCAGTGTCTTTCCTTGGGTGTTCTTGTTCTTCAGACAGGTCCTCTACCTCACCAAGTTTTTTTTTTTTTTTTTAAAAGATGACCGGTAAGGGGATCTCAACCCTTGGCTTGGTGTCACTAAGGAACAGTGTGATGATATAAGTGCCTAACTAGTATTTAAAGTTGTCAAGGAGTGGGGATGTGCAAATTTAGCAGCAAAAGACTCTCTTGTTTTGCCTCAAGGGAAGGTAATAGTGGTCAGAGGGGCCAGTTCCAAGGGCTGGTCCAGGGGGGGCCGCTGGTCTTGGTACTCTGCCACATGCCCATTCCGGTGGTGACCATACTCAAATTTGATCCGCAGCTCACCAATCTTGGACTGGGGAAGGATATCTGGGATCCACTCGATGATAAAAGGTGTTGGCTCCTTTTGATCTGGGGAAGTGTTGCCTAAAGCGGAAAAAGGAACACTATTAGTACAATTCCACCTGACTCTAATAGGTGTTCTTAATAGTCAGAAGTTTCCTGACTGCTGTACCGTAGGGGCCGGCCTACCAAGTTTTAATTTCTCTTGTTCTCCACACCTATCCAAACCCTTCCTTTCCTTTAACGTCCAGTGCAAATTCTAAGCCTCTGTGGGCCTCCATGTATTCTCAGCAATTTCCCCCATTGTCCAAAACACTTAGGAGCTACCCACACAAGCCAGTCCCTCAATCATACAGGGCAGACAACACTTAATATGTTTACCCATCCCTCCCTCTTTTTTATTTTTATTTTGGCGGCTGGCGGGTACAGGGATACCTTTAACCTTGGTGTTGTAAGACCCAGCTCTGAGGTAACAGGCCAGTTCTCTCATCCTCCTTTCCCCTTCTACCAAAAATGTTGCCCTCCAAGGTAGGGCAACCAGAGCCTTTCTTGGGGGTTTTTGCTCTTTTCCGAGTGGAGCTGTCAGTCTTGCTCCAGTGTGGAAGACATACTTTCAGGAACTTTAGGAGCCAGAACTCCTACCAGGAGGAGATGCTGTGTGTTCAGAGTGAATGAAGCCCCAGAGAGAGACAGAGATGGGTCAGATAGAAGGCCTGAGGCTCACCCACACCTAGCTCCACACCAGTGTGGTTGTCCAACCCTATCTTAGTATCCATAAACCAGTCATTCATTCCTATTTTTGCCCAAGCTGGTTAGCTGGGTTTTTGTCAGTTGCAATCAAAGGAAAACCAAGAGCCTACTTCAATAAGGATTTTTTCTGTCTTCCCCAGGACAACGAGGTATAAGAAATTTATATCAAATCAACACGACAAAGTGGAAAGTATCCCCATTCTGTGATCAATGAACTCGGAAACAGCAATTGAATTTTACAAGCTGTTTAGCTTTTTGGAGAATAAAGAAGGAAATAAATATCAAGTGAATAAGCAATCACAAGCATTAGTTTGAAATGTCAATATTCCCTTGCTACCTGGCCCTCTTTTTCCTATTTCATTATCAGCTAAATCCACCCCCCCCACTTATAATTTTATAATCAGGCCAACATGATATAATTTGGAAAAAACTAGTGGCACTGTGCTTTCTTTGAGAACAGAATAAAAAGCACGGTTGGAACTCTGCCAGGATGGTCCTTAACACTCTGCCAGGATGGTCCTTAACATTCTGCCCTAACCAGGGTATTATTAACTTTCCAACACTGTTGGTATAAAGCTGAGTGCTGCTAACTTCTTAGAAAATCAGAAAAAGGTTGAAACAAATTCTAAAGGTCAGTCCATAAGATGGAAAGTGAGCTGGTTTTCTCTGTGTTCCTTTTAAAACTAGCCAGAAATACTGCCCATTTATAATGAAGACTGTACACAGCAGCATCAAAAAGGCCATTTACAAGAATTTTTTTTTTCAACAGAATCCACTGAATAGCATTGATAAATCACATCTAATCTAAGAGCAGTTCACTAAGGAACAGTGTGATGATATAAGTGCCTAACTAGTATTTAAAGTTGTCAAGGAGTGGGGATGTGCAAATTTAGCAGCAAAAGACTCTCTTGTTTTGCCTCAAGGGAAGGTAATAGTGGTCAGAGGGGCCAGTTCCAAGGGCTGGTCCAGGGGGGGCCGCTGGTCTTGGTACTCTGCCACATGCCCATTCCGGTGGTGACCATACTCAAATTTGATCCGCAGCTCACCAATCTTGGACTGGGGAAGGATATCTGGGATCCACTCGATGATAAAAGGTGTTGGCTCCTTTTGATCTGGGGAAGTGTTGCCTAAAGCGGAAAAAGGAACACTATTAGTACAATTCCACCTGACTCTAATAGGTGTTCTTAATAGTCAGAAGTTTCCTGAATTGAAGCAGTTTCCTCAGCTTTGATAATCAGAGCGCTGTGTAGGATTTATACCCATTCGGTGATGACTGGGGTATCAGATTTCCTGATCATTAGAGGAAGTGAAAATATATATATTTAATGATTTTAGGTTTTTCTTTTTTCTTTTTTTCCTTTTTGTCTTTTTTACTGACCGGTAACGGGATCGCAACCCTTGGTGTCACGCCCGTACCGGGGACCGGCAACGGGATCGCAACCCTCGGTGGTGTGCCCGCATCGCGCTCAGCCAGTGAGCGGGAACTGGTCTCCACATGGGATCCGAACCCTCGGCGGGAGCGCTGCCGCGCTCCCAAGCGGTGCACTCTCCAGTACGCCACCGGGCCGGCCCAATAATTTTAGGTTTTTCTTACTGATGCTGCAGGCTAGAGGGACAGTCAGATGTCAGATATGACATAAAAAGTTCAGATTCAATGACTTCTACTTGTCAGCTAAAAAAAAAAGAAAGTTCTTGGGAGGAAAAGTAAAAAATAAAAATTTAAAAATTTTGTAAATATAAGAAAACAAAAAGGATAGAGGAGAAAGACCCTAACTAATAATTTATATACCTTTTTCCTCAGAACTGCTTACTTCTGGCATCATAAACGAGTATTTAATGTTTTAGTTCACTATCTTATTCTTCCTGCATTTTACCCCAGTCACTCTTTCCTCCACTTTTTTTGGTCATTTTCTTCTCACAATGACCAGACATCACTTATATGATGAGAGAAAAAACTTCCGTCCACCCCAGACTAATGACTTTGTGGGCTGGTGTATTTTGGTCTATTTGGTTTCTTCCAGCCATAGAATACAAACGTTAGTTTATTATCTGGCTCTTGTTTGTCACAAACATTTTATTATGGCTTCCATTTCAAAGAGTATCTGGCTGAGAACCCTTCTTTGGAGCTGCTAGCAACTTGCACTTAAATATCAATAAAGATGCAGAAAAAGCTGAAAACTCACAACAATGAACACTGAGACTACTGGAAGAATCTGAAGAGTAAATACAGGTTGGAGATGTATGGAGAGAAACCTACCCAGGCTCCTGCCACAGCATATCCCAAACCTCCCTTCATAAAGGGGCTGCATGGAAAAAGGTAGGAAGATACTTTATTCTTCCACCATTTGGGCCTTGGCTAGTTTATTCTGGATATATAATAACATCTTTGATAGTACAAATTCATATCATATATTGTTAGTAAAAAAATATTTTAAATTCCTAAAAAAATAGAAATTAAAAAGACACATCTTCTGACCTCAAAATGTAAAACTAGAAATTGATAACTAATAATATAAATATCAAAAGCTTCAACCAACTGGAAATTTTAAATACAAAGTACTGGGGACATAGAGAAACTATAATTACAGATGATTTAAATATTAACAATAATAAGAAGCTTAAATGTTATTATCAAACATGAATTTTAAAAATTTACTGAGTTTTTCATTTTATTTTATTTTTTTGGTGGCTGGCCAGAAAGGTGATCCAAACCCTTCACCTTGGTGTTATAAGCACTGCACTCTAACCAAGTAAGCTAACCAGCCAGCCTTGAGTATTCTGTTTTAAAAGCTATGAGAATAAAACAATCCCAAGAAAATGTTAGGACAATTTTTAAAAGAGTTAGGAGAAATTATTACAGACAAAAAACAGAAAATAATTTAAAATAAATTTAGAATAACTGATTAAATACAAGAACCAGTTCTTTATTTTGAGAAAGACCATAAAACAGACAAAATTCAAGGAGAGCATATAACTACAGATTTAGAGCAAATTTTAAAAGTTATGTGATTATCATCTATACCAAAAATTATAAAAAATGTACACAATTAAAATTTTGGATGAAAATATGAATTATCAAAATTGACTCAAGAAAAGATAGAAACCAGGAAATACAAGCGTAAATCAGAAAAAACTGAGTAAGTTTTTGGAGAAACTGCCTGCCTACTCTTACATTCAGAGAATAAATTATTACAAACATTCAAGGAACAGTTATTTTCCAAGCTACTTAATTTGATCCAAAGCTTTCCAAAATCATTTCCTATATAACTGTTACCAAAACCCAAAAACGATAGCCTCCAAAACAGAAACAGTGGATAGTTATCACTTATAAAGAGATGATCAAAATTCCTAAATAAAATATTAGCAGATAGAATCAATCTATCTATCTATCTATCTATCTATCTATCTATCTATCTATCTATCTATCTATCTAGAGAGAGAAAGAAAAAAAGACCAAGCAGGATTTATTCCAGAAATGCAAGATTTCTTCAATATTAGAAAGCTATTAATAAAATTCATTGCACTAATAGGTCAAAAGGTTAAAGACGGTAAAAAAGTATTTTATAAAATTCAATATTAGTTCCTTGGGCCGGCCCGGTGGCGCACTGGATGGTGCGCCGCTTGGGAAGCGCGGCGGCGCTCCCGCCCGAGGGTTCGGATCCCACATACAGACCGGTTCCCGCTCACTGGCTGAGCGAGGCGCGGGAGCAACACCGAGGTTTGCAATCCCATTGCCGGTCCCCGGTCCGGTACGGGGGCAACACTGAGGGTTGCGATCCGTTGCTGGACACGGAAAAAAAAAAAAAAAAAAAAAAAAAAAAATTCAAAATTAGTTCCTAAAAAAAAAACTTAAAAAAAATATGTCATTAAAAAAATTTTAAAAATTT